AAAAAAAAAAAAAAAAAAAAAAGAAAGAAAGAAAAAAAAAAAGAAGGAATCATCGCTGCTTGATAATCTTTTTAAAATGAAAACGGACATTATCGGTTTCAAGTGGAAATTTTCAAAGTGTAGCCCTTTGAGATATTCGTTTTTTTTTTCAATTCTATTTTAAAATTTTCTCTCTTTATTTAATCGAGGAAAAAGGAAAGAAGTTATGATTATGCGACTTTTCTTTTTTTCTCCTAAGAATAAAAAAAAAAAAATAAAGAAACGTTTCAAAGCAAAATAAATATCCTTCTTCGATTACACAATAAAAAATAAATATATAATTTATTTCCGTTTACGCGAACAATTATCAAAGACTCGATAAAAACACGATAATTTAATACTAGAATTATCAATTTATAATACGTAAATATGTAAATCTATTGATAATTATAGATAGTTGATTAAAATTAATATAGTATTATATTATGTAATATCATGTTTGTAATATGTACATACTATTACAATCGATTATCCGATCTAATATGGATGAAATGCTAATAGGATAATCGAGAAACTATTATTAATATATTCATGAATTACTTTTGGAAGAATCGATCCGAGTATAAATTTTAACTTAAAGAAACTTGAATTGGAAAATTATTATCTAACTCTGTCAAAAATTTTGTATATAAACAATTTTTTAAACAATTGCAAAACCTTATCCTTTCCGATTAATTCTAACATATTAACAGTAATAATTCGTAAGAGAGAAACTCGAAGAAAAGTCAATATCCCAAAAATTCATCTTTATCTGTCAGCAACCACGTTTTTCAACATCGACATCACTTATTAAAAATCGTGATAAATAAACACTCTCTCTTTTACATCCTCCGTACCGATTCTTCGTGTTCCAAGGATATTTTCCTCGAAAGAAAATTAGAAACTAAAGTATTCTGGGCTTTACTTACGATCACGGAATTACATGCAACGCTAGAATCGCTGTCTGCGTCGGGATCCTGAAAGGAAGAAGAGAAATTAAATTTTTAAATTTGCGTTACATTTATGATGAAATGGAGACCACGATTGAAGGTATTAGTAGATCCGTTTTGGATTAATGAATGAATTTATATTATTACCGATTATGATATCAAAAGATATGTTGAAACTTACCTTTAATCAATGGTTTAATTTAAGAGGATATTCAAAATTGAGTTGAAAATAAATGGATCGATTTTACAGTTTTCATATCGCATTATATTTTCTTATATTCCATATGATTGTAATATGAATGTAAATCTTTCTTCAATCCTCCTAAACTTATGAAAACGTGCCCATTGAATCCTCGAATATAAATATAAATTCCTTTTGAGATAAAAAATAATAATAAAAATATTCCACCACCATCGTTTAACGATTTTAAAACTATTTTATTTTTAAGGAAACGTTTATATTATATAAAAATATATATGTATATTTAACGCACGATGAATCTTCAATTTTATTTTTCTCGATGTCAAAGTTGCAAGCATGGCGGTATGCGTATGCGTAGTAGAAACTGGAAACGCAACTAGACACCCGCGTAGGATCTTCGGATGCGTGCAAATAAGGATCGTGGCAGATCGGGCACAAGGTGTGGCGCAATTCGTAGTGGAACCGAACGCGACTCAAATTTGTGGCAAGGGGGAATGTATTTTGGAATGTATTTTCGGCCGTGTGGATAATAAGGCGAGTAAAACACGCAGTAAAAACCGATTTACGATAGTTGGAAGAACTATTTTCGATCTCATAGGATAAATCGAAATTAATTCCGTGTCCTCTTCCTCCTAGGTAGAAAATATCTCCATACGTTATTTCACAAGGAAATTCGTGTGTAATAAAATAAATCTTCGATGACGTGATAGAACGCAATGAGGGAAAAATTCGAGCGAGAGCTATAAATTTTTATCACAATAATTTCGGTCTCTCGAAATATTTTTTTTATAAATGGTGATTAGAGCAACGAAGATTATACATTTTTTTAAATTTTTGCTCCTGAGATAAAATTGTATTTATAAGAAAATGAGAAATGTTGAAAATTATTATTCGTGGAAGATCGATCTCATTGCCTCGAAGTACAAGTTTCCACTGATACGAAACAGAATTATTGTTTGTTTTGTGTATAAGCGAAGGTTACCGTATACTCGAACGAATTCTCCCGTAATTCGTTAATGATTTCTTTTCTATAAACAACCGATCAGAAAACAAGATACGAGAAAGAAATTTACATTTTTATCTTTCACAACGATCGATTCTGCGGCGCAATTCAAACCATGTCTAAAAATTGATTCCTCATCGACGAACTAATCTTGTTCGCTGCGTGTTCACGTATACGTTGTACGGTAAATCATTGGAATAGTTTCCAGAGAAAAAAATAAAAAGAGGAAAAAAAAATTGGTTGGTCGAACGAAACGAGAATTACGTAAAATCGAAAGGCCCTCGATGAACCTCGCCTTCTCTCATCGCGAAGGAATTCGTGGAAAGAAAATTCTGCCCGTGTTTTCCACAAGATTTGTAGACGTTTTCTCTAGTTTTCTTGCACGTATGCTTTTCGATGCTTGACCCCCTTTACATTCCAAACGCATAGGTGGATTATACTATAAGATTTCGAATTTGATGGTTTCCAATTCTTTTGGAAATTTAATTTAATCGTGGTAAAAAAATGCTTGTGACTTTGCTTTTCCTCACTGCTTAAGCGTACGTAGTTTGATAATAAAATATAACCATGCATAGCAAAAATATAATTTTAAAAGAACTCTACCATAGGAAATATTTATCCTATGAAACAAATCTAAAAAATTATTTCACAAAATTTTAAATATTCAACTATATATACTACGAATCGAATAAAAATAATCTTACTTCGAAGGGTCGAGAAAATCGAGAAGTTTTCAATCGAATCGACTTCCATGATTTATTCGATTAAATTGAAGTTGAATATAAGAATATAAATATACGTATGTACATTACATGCATTCCTGTTCACTGATGTAATCAACGAGTAATAGTTTACGAGACTTTAGTTGTCACCCATTGTCGTGACAAAAGTTTCAAACGAGGACTGGCTGCTTCCTCGAACGCGACACGGACACCGATTTCTAGCTGGTACCCTAGTACGTTATCTTTCGCAAGTGGTTTCACTTATGCAAATAATTCCACACGGGAGAGAGAGAACCGGGTCGTCGGCATGTCGCGGATCCGATTGCAACAAAATTAATTATTGTCGCCGGTTTTATCTGATCACCGAGCCGGCCGATAGATTTATTCCTCCTCGGAGCGGAGAAAATAGGCTTTTTATTTAGGCGTAAAGGCTCGAAGGCAAATTTTTCGATTCTATTTTTTTTTTTTTTTTTGCATTTATTTCTTTTGGACAGATGATAAACGATTCGTTGAACGTTCATTGATCCCCTTGCGTTTTTAAGAATGCAATAACGAATTTCTTAATAAGAGTCTTTTTTCCATCCACTGGGGAAAATTATTGTCACCAGAGAGTTCACTGTTCGAACACGATGCTTTTGCTCGAAAATTATTTTCGATAATTATTCCCAAATGTCGAGAACAACTCTCTCCTTTATCCTTGTGTTCGCGCTTCAACGTTGAGTCAATTCGATCCCAATGGAAAGTATTATTATCTCGGTTGCATGGGATGTTAACTTGGAGAGCAAAAAAAAAGAAAATAATATTCCGCGTGTATTATACGCGATATTTATATTTCGCATATTTATGAAAGAAGGCGCCACGCGGGCGAATTTTTCGATTCGTCTACAATTGGCTCGATGACAAACGACCCTTGAAACGCTCCTCGGTCCCTTTTGCATTTCTAATGATCCTGTAGGAAGCATTGTTGCGTTAATGTTACTTCGAAAAACGTTTC